GGTCATGATACCCCCTGAAAGCATCTTGTCTGCAAAACTATTTGAGTGGCTCGGATTGAAAAATAACAGTTATAGCAAATATTTTGATAAATGTACAAAAATATTACCGAAAAATTTAACAAATTATGGTACATTTAATGTCGGGATTCAATTTTTACCCCTCCCCCCCCCCTGTTTTAGCCTTGTTGCTAAGGCCCTGGCCGTATTGAAGGCACATTCACCTTAGGCTTAGTTGTGAAATGTATTGCAGAATAAGGATAATGTAGGATTTATTTATTTAATTCACATACATATTTCACAGACATAAGTAAAAAAGAACTGCTGAAGTTAGAAATCCACACATAGGATTTTAGCTTGAGAAACAATATGGTATAAATTAAAATTTAATCATTCAGAAATATTCCACAATATCTGAAATAATTTTTGACCTAGCAGGCTATAGCTAGCTAATTGTCATATCAAATTTTGCAATGTATTTGAATTCCAACTAAGGGATTATTCATTGCATGGTATAGCTGCTCCCTACTAATCGACTATTTTTCCACAATCGAGTATGTTTAATATAACTCCATGTCACCACACAGCGTGATGCGGGAATGAGTCAATTTCTTTCTGCATTAAAAAAATTGCGACAAGATTGTGATTAAAGTATAAAATGACAAACATTAAGGCGAAAATGCGTTGATTCAAAACATTGTGGATCAAATATCAAATTCACTCGCAGCCTGCAAAGTTTACCATAGTCTGATCGGATTTACCAGTGCTGTGAAAATATCTGTAAAGTTTTTTATTAGAAGAATTTATTACCATTTGCGTCCAGCATTGCGATGTGCGGACATAAATCAATTATCCATAAGAGTCTGCTCAAGTCTCGCAAATTTACTTAGGAGTGTCAAAGAACAACTAAAGTAAACATGTCTCTTGTGTGAAGTGTAAGAGCACAAGAAAGTATGCAATCTATAATTGTGATTAACGTTTAAACGCAGATTTAAAACGTTTATACTGACTGGTACAACCCCCTAAAATTTAGTAAAAAGTTTAATTTACAAACCTGTCAAACCACCATGGGCATGTCATATTCAAATTAATTATCAATACGATTAATCGGTATTAATAGATTGTTGACAACGATTAATCGATTATGAAAATTAACCGAGGGCAGCAGCTCTATTGCATGGTGAATTTGGAGAACTGAAAAAAGATGGGAAATCATGGATCTAAATAAAAACAGTCAGCCGTCTAGGAATGGTTTTCGCGTTGTCTCAGGAAGGCTATTTTCAATGGAATATTGCTGCCAGAGTTGGTTTGTAATCAGAATAACCTCTCAGGCTTAACTTTAAAAATAGAGCCACAATGCTCTTTACCCAAAATATAATTTATGTTCAGTATCCAATCAAAATGCCCCAGGAAAAATGCCAATTTCATATGAAAACAACTGACAACAGTCTAATTGTTGTTACAAGTACTTACTATTCATATATATTGACAACAATGGTAATATTTATCTATAGTTAGCATTAACTAATCAAAATCAAATGCCACCTTAAAATTTCTTTGTCTGATCGACCAATCAGGTGAAAAGCGGGATTTTAGCTTTTTTCCCTGTTTTCCCTTCTATCCACTTACGATTAAGGAAAGGGAAAAATGGCCTGATACTCAAGCTACCATGCAGACAAATGTCACTAGCAGTCGCTGGAAGGACGGACTCCATGAAAGCTTGGCAAATCTCAGATCACTGAGAGAAAAAGAATGTCCACAAAAAGAAAAATAATATTCGTGGCGAGAAAAAATAAGGCTGATCAGCCTGATCGCTTCGAACGTGTCCAGGAATAAAAGTAGAAATGCAACATTTGGTGTGCACGATGTGGACATAAACACGAAAAGGACGTTGACAGAGACTGGTGTCAAGAGTTGAACAAAAACATCATCTCACTTCTCAATACAGGAAGGTTTGTAAAGATGCATAACATGAGAACACGCGCGAGGGGAAAAGGGAAGGCGAGGGAAGAAACGACTTTGAGATTACAAGTTCAAAGACCATACTACAGTACAGAACGCTTTTAGCCATGTCCTCATGCGGAGTGTGGTTTGGACGGCATGACAGAGCAATCCATATGTATGTACATATCTTGTAACTACTTGTACAGCTGATTTAAAGACGGAGAAAAATATTCTGATAGAATACATTCAAAGGAACCACTGTCATGTTTGAAAAATCTGGCGATTAAAAATAATATGCATTTGTAATAATAATAATTTTAATATTTATATAACGCAAAATAACATTGATATATGAAAGAAATAGAAATCTAGAGTTTTTATGTGTGTCTTTTTATCGAACTCAACCGCCATTTTGAGTGCTCCAGACGTGATCGCGTGAAGGTCTAAAACGGGATAGAAATGCGTACTGTACATTATAAAGTCATTAATTTATTTACATCAATGTAAAAAGCGAGCTCGAAGCGTAAAATAGTAGTTTGCAAAATGAACTGCCACGTTTCTTGATGCAAGAAAACCACAATAATCCTCCAGTCACCTCTGTCCAGTGACTAACTTTTTCTCGCCCGCGCACTTGATTTCCTGAAAATTGGAAAGCATATTCAACTGTAAGGCTCCCAAATTTGATTTCCAACCAGTTTTAGATCAAGATAATGGATCAGTGCACCTTAGGAACTCCAGTGTAGAGATAATATTGTCTACCAATTCTGCAGCCTCTCTGCAAGCAAACATCATAGGTGTGATACTGGTCACAGACAAAAACCTCTTTGTTTACTGCTTACTTGGTTAAAGAATTGTCCAGGGATGGAAAAAATATTTTACTCTCTGGGACCGCAAGAGAACATTGAAACATTTTCTGCGAGTAATCAAGTAAATCGACACTCGGGCGCTGTAACTGTGTAACACTAACAAGTTGTCACACTGAATGTCATGCTATATTTTAACAGAAACAAAATCATTTTAGTGCACTGAGAATCTTAATAAAACTAATTTATCAGATAACATGCTACATGCATCAGGGGCAGGCTTTCTTGCCATCCTACTTTTCCTACTTTTTCCTACTTTTCTTCAACTTTCCTACTTTTCCTATTTTTTATTAAAAATTGCTTGATTTTCCTACTTTTTCCTACTTTTTCTCATAAAATCCTACTTTTTTAAGACAGCTTGGGGAATCAGTATGTTATAGCTCTCGTAATTAGATCTATAGCACCCGTAATTTTTATTCCCTATTTGTGTCCCAGATGATAAGATCTCAGGAGGAGAAGAAGTGCATTTTCCGAGTATAAAATTTCATAGCATCTCTAGAATCTAGCCTCCTCCGCAGGCATCTCACTGAGGAATCGGGTGGTGAGAAAAAGTTTTTTCAAACCCATTCGCAGGCTAGAACCCATAGAGAGGCCTGCGGAGGAGGCTATCTAGAATCATAATCAATAAACAATCTCGTTCCCCGAGCCTGCGATCCTCGGGAAGGAATCGAAGGCTCTGGGATAATCCGTTACCGGAAGCCAAGAATCCTGGCTAAGATTGAACTACGCATTCCATTTCAATGGCCCATCAGATTCCTCCCTGAAACGGATTATCCCAGAGCCTCGCGTTCCTTCCCGAGGATCGCAGGCTCGGGGAACGAGATTGAATCAATAAATTAATGAAGACTCCGAAAGTGCCATTTCCGACGATCTATAGAGATTCCAAATATTCAACTCCCTCCTCAGTTAATCAAGCATCATATATACAGGGGCCATAGCAACCGCAGCCCCCCAATAATTTGCTAATAATATTTTTTTTTCAAAATCTTGATGCAGACCTTTATCATTTAATCCATGACAACTGCAAAGAATGAAGATATTACCCATACTTTCCTGCAACTTATCCAATATATAGTTAATTAAATACGCCTTTGCCCATTTAGTACTACTAAATTGTAAATTTCGACATACTAAAACGCTGTTTTTTGACCATTAGAATTCTGTCAAATCTTCCCCAAAGTCCAGGAAATGGCATTTCAGAGATTCTAAATTTAAAAATTTCCTCGGGCCTTCGGCCCTCGCTTTCCCCCCCCCCTCCCACAATCGAAAAGAGCTTCTTACGGCCCTGATATGTGCTACTGCCCAGTGTGGATTGGTGCATTGTGTAGCCCAATACATGCATTTGAATTATGTTGCTGCGGAGCAGATGCCTTAGCTTTTATACCGATGCAATTTAAACGTTTTCAGAAAAAAATGCTGCATAGGTGAATGAGTACATAAAAATATTGAGCACCAAAAATTTACACAATTGTGTTATTTGCATCTCCAAAACTCCTACTTTTGTCCTACTTTTCTACACATTCTCCTACTTTATTCCTACTTTTTCTAAAATTCTAGTCCTACTTTTGTCCTACTTTTCTACACAAGGATGCCAGAAAGCCTGCAGGGGTCTGGGCAGGGATCCTAAGGCATATTTACAGATGCCAAAAAGGGGACACTAGGAGGCGCAAAATTTTCATTTGCCATACAACATTCTATAGATTTATACATTGACACTATTGGACTATTAAGATGGATGCACTTATAATTGCATTTCTGAGGTTATATATTCAGTACAAGTAACATTCTTCCTATTGGTTGGAATTTTCCCTCTGAATTTTTCCTTTTGTCTAAATTATTACAATTATCTTTTTTTCTTTCTTGGGGAAATATTTTCTGGGAGATCAAAACATTTTCTGGGACCAATTGTCCTGTGGTCCGATATTTTTTCCACCCCTGGCTACAGGAATTCTTTAAATATGAACTAAGGTTTCCTATATGGTTGAATTGTGGCAACTACAGCGCAGTAGATGAATTTTGCCAATTTACAATTTTTACCATGCCATACTATATCATGGTGATGACTCATAAAACTCAAAATTGTGTGAATTAGAAAAATAATCCTAATTTTCCCCTGTTAGACTTTCTTTACCAAGTAACAAGTTCTTTAGATTTCTGTTGTTGAGGTGCAGTTTTCCATATTATATTTCTACATCAGAAATGTATAAATTATTTTGCATTATTTCAACTATTTTAAACTTGTGTTTAGGTGTTTTACGAAGTGCGTGTACAAAACAAATTGGAAGTGCATATGCCAGACAAAGAGACTAAGCCGCATGTTATGAGAGTTGGTTGGTCAGTTGATTCTTCACCTTTCGCTGTTGGTGAAGCAGCATTGTCTTATGGTTATGGAGGAACTGGGAGAGCTTCTTGTAACAACAAGTTCTCTCATTATGGAGAGCCGTACAGCACAGATGACGTAATTACATGTTATATTGATTTAGACGCTGTTCCAAAAGCAATATTTTTTGCTAAGAATGGAAAATATCTCGATGTAGCATTTCGTTTGGGTTCCGAAGCAGATGGAAAAGTATTTTATCCTCATATTTCGGTGAAAAATATGAGATTTGTTGCCAATTTTGGAGCATTTAATCCTCACTTCCCACCCGTTCAAGGTTTTTGCTTCATACAACACCTACCACCTCAAATGTTGAGTGTACCACCAGCTGCACCAAGAGATCGTCGGGAATGTGAGGTTCTTATGATGGTTGGTCTGCCATCTTGTGGCAAGACCACGTGGCTGGAGAAGTATGTAAAAGATCACCCAGAAAAGAAGTACAACGTTCTTGGAACAAATGATATTCTAGTCAAAATGAAAGTAATGGGCTTAACCAGAAAGAGAAATTACCATGGTCGTTGGGATGCACTTATTAAACAAGCGACAGGAATTTTGAACGAAATGTTGAAAGTTGCCAAGCACAAAAATCGTAATTATATTTTGGATCAAACTAATGTGTATCCAAATGCTCGCCGCCGGAAGATGGGGAATTTTAAAGGATACCGCCATATTGCAGTTGTGTTGGTGAACGAGAATTCTGTTCTCATGCAAAGAAATGCTGAAGTGGTACGTCGAGACGGTAAAATCGTTCCTGAATCTGCGTTCATGGAGATGAAGAGCAACTTCACGTTGCCAGTTCAAGGCGAGGTCTTTGATGAAGTCCGGTATGTTGAAGAAAACGAAGAGAGATCACATAATCTTGTCCTTGAATTTAATGAAGAAGGAAGGAATTGGAAAGAAAATCAGAAAAAAAGACCAATTGATGATGTGCAGGTGAAAACACAAACGGGAACAGATTTCAAAAAATCGAAGTATGGAGAAACAGCAAGTTCCGACCAGTATAGAAATCAGTATGGTGCGCAGGGTCCTAGAATTCAGGAAGGTGGATTTCAACATGGCTCGCATTCACAGCATTCCAATCAAGGCGGAAGACCCAACGTTCCCGTACAAGAGAGTCACCCCGTAGATACACATAGAGAAGAGTATCAACAACCAAATCAGAATGCTTATCCTCAAAGGCAGCAGCAAAGCAATCCACCATACCATGGCAGGAACCGGCACTTTCAAGGGAACAATCCTGGAGAATCAGAAAGGCCTCAGGATATTGGTGGTCACAGTCGTGAAGGATTTCATCAAGGACAACAAAGACGGAATTTTGGTTATCAACAAGGTGGTCAAGATGGAGGAAGATTTCCACATGAAAATGCTGGAAACAATCAACTTACCGTACCTCAAGACATTCGGGGTGAAGGTGGGCAATCGAGAAATAACCCTCGTTATTATCAAGGTGCTCAAGGTCATCAAAGTGGTCAGGGTGATTGGCGTTATTCACAAGGAAACGGCGGAAACAATTATAATCAACCTCCTCAAGGTGACTGGGGTAAGCGTGAGCCTTTTCAAGGACAACCAAGAAACAACCCTGAGCATCAACGACACGGTCAAGGTGAAGGGGGTGGTCATACACGTGGAAATCCAGGGAACGTTTATCACAAACCTGTCAATCCACACAGTAGTAGTCAGAATGAAAATTATTCGAGAAGCAGAAATGAAAATTCATCTACACAGCCAGGTTACACTGGATTGTCACATATGAAGAAAGAAAGCTTGCAAGCAGCACAGGGAGTTTCCAAAAATCCGAATGAAAGTTACTACGGAGGCAACCAACCAGGAGGCTATGATTCTTCTCAAAATTATCCACTCCCGAAAGCTTACGACGACCCATTTCAAGGTTACCATGGCAGCTCCGAGAGTTGGAACGCACAACAGAAACAAGGTGGTTTAAATAATCAATCCCGTGGGTACTGGGGTGGTGGACAAGGATGGGGCTCCGCATCAGGGTCGCAAGGTTATGGCAATTCACAACACAATGTTCCTCAATCAATAAAACAGGACAATTCGGACCGTAACCAGCAATACTATCATCAAGGACAGTCTCAAAATTATCAGTAGTAATGTTATAGTAAGCTAACAGACAGTCTCAAAACTATCAGTGTTAATGTTACTGTACGCCATTTATATATAGAAAACGGCTTCTTATGGTCAAGAAAATAATCAGTCAGTCAGGACGTTTTTAAACTCGTCCAGAAACCCTGCTATTTCAAAGCCGTCTTAACTGTGTACTTCCACTCAAGAGGGAGGTAATATCAGCTATTCGGGGAAGGCGGGAACTGGACTTTAAAACGCACAAAGCTTGCGTTTAACTTTCATTATTGGGGGGAAAAGGTTCTTATCGATGAGTAAACGCGTGAGACCATATTCATGTAACAGAAGGCATAAAAAATTATTGAATGTGTTGTTGAAGTTTTAACCAGTGTAGCCTGTGCACACACTGTATATACGTTCTCTTGGGGAGATTATCATTATTTGTGCAGGTCACGTGGATTTTCCACGGATTTGTGGAAAGACATCTAATTGGACAGTCCTTAACCATTTCATTGGTTGTTAACTTTTACATAATTTATAGTCACGTGGCCACCGAAATTATTCCCTTATTTAGAAAGGCAATAAGATACAAGAACGGCAGCGTGCTATTTAGGGAACCAACCGCAGAAAATTATAGATTACATTATAGCTACATGCTGTGCAGATAGATGTCTTTCCACAAATCCGTGGAAAATCCACGTGACCTGTACATCGTGACCTGTGCACATGATAACTAATTACTGTTAGCATTCTATTTCAACACTTGTTGGAAATACACCATTATGAGATATGCTAATAACTATCAAGCTATGATATTTTACATCTAATGAACAAAAATATATTACTATTGAACTTGTATATATTTCTTACATTCTACTTGTGTCATATACCTGTATAACTAACGTTGATTTGTAAAATCGTTTTTAACGAAACTGTAGGCGTAGCATTTCGAAACAGTTGACAAAAAATTATACTTGATTCAAGTCAAGCGGTTTGATGGGCGTTTTGTTTTTTTAGATTGATTTGAAACTAATTTTCATTTTTGCCTGTGTTACCAATTATCAGCGTTGTATTGTACCACTACATTCTTCTGATCCCCGTATTGCTTATCTTCACGCTGTTTGTATCTACAATCATTCATAAAAACCCAAGATAATTTTAAGAATTATCAATCATTAAATTGTTGATTGTCTTTGATTTTAAGCAGCCTGATAACAAAATTTAATTATTTTTTAGTTGTTTTTTTTAAATAACAGTAGCCTTCCTGCCCTTCCAACTCTCGCGCATATAGCACAGAGCTGCAGATCAGTGATATAGCGTGACAGACACTCATTCGGCATATGTCTCATGCTCGCACGCATATATACAATTGTCGTGTAATAAAATGCTTTGTCTGTCGGAAAAGAATACAATAGATCGCCGACGAAATACGACCAGTGTGAACCAGGCCATTCTAAAGAGAATTCACAAACGATATGTATATGCATATATGGTCTTATTTGTACTTATTATGTAAGTGGAACCAATCAGAATTTAACTTCTTACGTTTGCAAGTTTACGTAAGTATACGTTCGTTTACGTCCTTCGGTGCATGTTAACTATAGCAGAACCGACGAAGGTATCAGTTGTTTGACCGAAACGTCTTCTGATATTTTAAACGTTTTAAAATAAAAGATTTTTAAACCAGTTTCAACCTTCCATGCTTTACTTTTAGCTTCCAAATACACTGATATTGGTTGATTCAGGGTGTCCACCCTTTGGTGAAGGTGAAATTCAAGGACTTTTCCAGGACTTTCAAGGCCCTTTTTCAGTAAATTCAAGGACCTAGAACTGGGAAAAATCTTTGAAAATGGCATGGAATTGCCGTAAAATAATTCACTTTATTCAGTAATTTTGATCAAAATCACTAATGTTGGCACAGCTGGGGGTTAAGGAAATTAATTCCAGGACTTTCAAGGACTTCTACTGATTTTCAAGTACTTTCCAGTCCAGGAATTTTTTTCCAATTCAAGGACTTTGGACTTTCCGGGATTTTCAAGGCCCGTGGACACCCTGTTGATTGGACGAATAAACAATTCACACACAAGACAAAAACCTATGTATTAAATAAGGTGTATTATGTCTGCATCGAGTTTCTTTACCTTCTTATTCTATTGACTATATGCATGGCCAGTGGTGCCTAACTTACTTTGAATTTGTACTTGAGTAAAAGTAGATATACTTTTACTCAAGTTAAAAATACCATGGCCAAATATACCTATATAGCTGAGATACAGTATAACAAATATAGCTGAGATATAACAAATGAATGAAATGAACACAACGGCCGATGCTGAACTGCGAAGGTTACAGATGTTTCAAATTTACTTTTTGATTCCGTTTGATTATCGCGAAAGCAGATTTGTTAAAATTTGATTGGTCGAACACTATCCGTCTGTAACGTATTGTATTACGTAAATCAGACTATTTCCTAAATTTGTAAATGGACACTTAGTTGATGACACTCAGTTGATGCGGGATTTTTTCCAGCAACGTGATAATGTATTAACTAATCTGACAATGTGGCGTAACCAGTGTTTGTACATGTAGTTTTACTTGCTTAACAATAGTACCATAGTTGTAGGTAAAATACTGTCATGCATGTAGTTTCCCAATACTATATGAATGTTCGATTGTATCTTGGTAAAATATCGTAAGATGTTCACGTGTAAGGACAATAATATATATATATATATATATATATATATATATATATATATATATATATATATATATATATATATATATATATATATATATATATATATATAGAAAGACACAAAAACTTAGCAAGCTTTGTTTGGCATATTTATTACTATACAGTTTCGTACCACGTAAATAACGTGGCACTCTTCAGATAAAATAGCCTATGTTTTAAAATAGTCTATGTTTATATATATATATATATATATATATATATATATATATATATATATATATATATATATATATATATATATATATATATATATATATATATATATATATATATATATATATATATATAGCTGAAATTGTAAAATATCGGTAGTTGGCGAGTATGCTGGAATAAAGTGAAGTTAAAAACCAGAGTCGTGCACGCTACACGTCCATCCTCATTTCCAGGGCGTTGCGGGTCGAATACCAGGTATTGGTCAAAAACTGTTACCAGAAAAAAAATATAGCTAAGGCAGTGGTGTCATGATGTCATCACTGCCATGAGTCATTCCGTCCACTCCGGCGGATGTTCCACACATATATGCTGTTTTCGTGTTTCTTTTGCTGAAATCTGCCAAACAATTTTTTGTTGAAAAGAAGCCAAAAATTAAACCAAATGCTGACTTAAGCCTGCCGCACACGAGAGGAAACTTGCTGAGCTATAAACCGTGGTGGCTAGCTCAGCTATGCATTTTCACCGCACACGTTGCCGTTGGGAAATTACTACTCAACAACAACATAATTGACAAAATCGTTTGCATTTTCCTCCATTTTGTTCAAAGTCACATGAAGAAACAGTTTGACCAGGTTTTTTCAGGGGCAATTACCACATCCAGCTGCATAAAAATACTACATTGGGTCATATTTTTCCTGCCAAGAGTGGGCGTAAAAAATCTTTTCCGGACAACCCTTTTTTTCACCAAAACCTGACTTAATTGACTTTTTTAGCTATTTTCAGATTAATAGCCACAATTCCAAAAATTACCGTAGTAATTACCACAAATTTCAAATTACCACGATCGTCTAAAAATGACGAAAAATTACCACGGTACTGATAAATGAAATTACTAGCCCGCGTGCAGGCCCTGCAAGCTGTGAAATTACCACATCTGCTCACACTGTGAAGAAACTATGGTTTCTCGTTGGCTAATTGATTCAAGCAGCTCAGCACTAAGCTCACAACATCCGCAGACGTTGAGATTTTTTCCTCGCGAGATGAAAAATATCAAACACGATAGATGGGGCATAGATATTTTCCTCAAGGCCTCGAGAGGTCAATTCCTCACGAAAACTATCCGCACATGAGAGAAACTTGCTGAGCCAGCTGCCGCGGCAGGCTTTATGCAGTTTGCCGTGAATCATCAGAGCCAGAGGTGAATCATATGGTTATAGAATTGTAATGATGTAATCAATGCCTTTTTCAAAATAATCAATACGTTTTTGCAAAACTCTTGTAATCTGTGAATTTTCGTCGCCAAATGGAAACAAAGAAGCCAGATTCGAATTATTTGGCCGAAGAGGCCAACTTACCAGGTTAGCACTATTTTCAATCCAGGGCATTTTTTAAGAAACTGCAACTACTGGGGCCAAGTCTTAATGAGGGCCTTTTCCCCGCACAGGGGGCGGCGCTAGCCCTATTTGAATGGGGGGGGGGCGTGTAAGTGACATTTTGCATTTGCCAGCGACTCATTTCAAACGCTAATTTATATATCTTTTCCCAAAATTGTTGGCGAGTGGGGGGAGAGGAGAAGGGGGGGGGGGGGTTTCACGCCTCTACATCAAAACTTTTTACGCACATTAATTAAAGTTTTCCTTTTTCTTTCCGGTTAACGTAGCATTGTTTGTCTAACTTTCCGTAATTTTTTCGGACAATTCTCTAAATTTTAGCCACAATTATTAGTTTTTAATCAGTGTCACTCGAATATTTGAATTTCTTTCCTTCCTATCCAACTGGGATTAGATAATTTGCTGACTACCTGACGACGGGGAGGGGGGGGGGGTTCAACCCCCACACTCACATCCCCCCTTTAGCGCAGCCCCTGCCTGTTCTGACTTTTATAAGGGCGAGCAGATGCTTTTTCAACGAGGTTGACTTTTTACTAATGATCAAAAGGGTTCAGTTCATCTGAAAATCATGCTTCACTACTGGGGCAAGCAAAGGGCCTACTGGGGTCGAATGCCCCAGTAGTTATATAGTTAAAAAATGCCCCGTTTCCATCCAGCAAACTGACCTGACGTCATTAACGGAAGATGGAAGAGGCAGGGCCGCCCAGAGGGGGGGGGGGG